TTCGTCTCGCAGTTTTCAGGCGAGTTATGAAATTAGTTTTTTCATTCGTGTCCAAAAACCCATTCTAATATCCGGTCAAACATCCAATGTGACACCCAAAATTTTTTTTTCGCGAACTAAACACACCCTAAAGAAGAAACAGTAGAAAGTAAAACCGTGAGAGAGAAACCAAATTCAGCAGATGTGAAACTACAGTGAAAGAGCACGGAAGCCACAAAAATTATCAAAGGAACAGACCTTTGTACAAGAAACCACCCTTCACATTTTTTCCTTTAAGAATCGGCAAAAGCATTGCCGCTTATGTATGGACGGAGAAGAGGTTTACAGAAAAGGAACGCGAGGGTTTTTGAGGAGCGGACAAGATCAAGGTATGGCATGAAGCATGCAGGGCTATTCAAGGTGCAAAATAGCAAGAGTGTTTGTTTCCAGTGTGTGCACGTACGATTTGGTTTTAGCACCAGGCCTCAACTGTTTTCTGTCGACATCACAAATTTGTATTTGAACTATGTCTCTCTTCCAAATCTTAATAAAATTGGTTGGCTATTCTTCAATCAACCCGGCCAAAAAAAAGAAAAGAAAAAAAAAGAGGTTTATAGAGCCTAAATATTTACAGGGGATGGCAAAAGACCCCATAAAATTGAACTATGTAACGTGAGCTGATTGATTGGTTGGGTTGGGTTTGCTGCTCCATGTATACCATATCCTGACGAATTGGCTAAGATGGTCTGTTGCAGTAATCTTGTAAAGGTGGATGTCCCTGAACTGCCATAGAAACCACCCTCGCACGGCGACGAATAAACATGACATTTGAAGAAACAAGATGCGGACAGCGGGACTATGTAGCGCCCGTTCCGTCGTGGCGCCTAGCGGGAAAATTATCTCTTAAAAACCCTAATTGTGAAATTTGTTTCTTTGCTTGTTGTCTAGTGTCCGTGTCATCTCAAGATCTCAATCCCCGATCTATCGTCGAGTTCAAATCCGAATCCAAATCCTTCCAAATCAAATTCCTCCGCAAAAGTCTATTTTGCCTCCCCCGGGGGTCGATGGGCCGATTTCCTCCCGGCCCATCTCCCCCTCTCCCCTCTCCCCCGGCGCGCTCCCGCTCTCTCTCCCTCTCTCTCGCTCTCTCTCGCCCCCTCCCCTTCCCGGCGCGCTCCCTCTCCCCTCTCCCTCAGCTCCGCTCCGCTCCGCCCGCGCGCCGCGCGCGCGTGCGCGGGAGCCGCGCCGAGCGCTCCTCCTCCTCCACTCTGTCCGCGCGCGTGCGCGTGAGTCACCGCGCCGAGCGCCTCCTCCCCTCGCTTTCCTTCTCCTCTCCCTGGCGAGCTCCCCGCTCGCAAAGCCGGCCCCCGCGCGCTGTTGTTCGCGCGCGCGCCCGCGTGGTCCTCGCCCGCACCGCGTGGTCGCCGCCCGGCCCCGCTGCCCTGCCGCGCCTGCAGCCGCTCGGCCCCGCAGCCAGCGCGTGTGCCGAGCCGCGCCGCTCCATCCGCCGCGCCCTCCCGTTGCGAGCCGCGCGTGCGTGCCGAGTGGCCGACCGCCTGGTCGCCGCCGTCGTCAGCGCCTGCCGCGCCTGTCGCTCGTGTCGTCGCGCCGCTCCAAACCGCCCCGCCGTCATTGCCGTCGTCACCGCCCGGCCCCCGCCACTCCGCGCGCAAGCCGCCAAGGGACGGAGGCAGCGCCCCTCCTCCCTCTGCCGCGTCGCCCCCGCTCCCCTCCTCCTTTTTCCCGAATCGGCAAAAGGGCAAGCCCCTTTCTCCCCCTCCTTTTTCCCCTTTTTCCCCCGCCGGCGTCATCCTCCCTGTCGCCGCTTTGGCCGCGACCGCCGAGCGCCAGCTCGCGCCTTGACCACCCTAAGTCGGTTCCCAAACCGACATTGCCGCCCCCTTTAAACCCCAGCTCCTTCCCCTCCAATCTCCCTCGTTTTCGCCTCCTCACCATAGCTGCCGCCCCCGTGCTCTGTTCACCGTCGCCGTTCGTTGTTGCGCGTGTCGAAGGAGTCGGCACGAGCAAGGACGCGGAAGGGGACTTCGGCCGCACCCTCTCCTTCCTCTTCCCCGGCCCGAAGCCGGAGAGATTACTCCCGCGCCGTCGGCCTCTCGTCACAGCGCCCCTCCTCATCTCGGTGATGCCTCCCTCCGTTCTTCCTCCTCGCTCCATCTCCTCCCCCTAGCTTTCGGTAGTAGCTCGAGTAGACTCCCCGTAGTTAGCCGGCGCCGCCCCGACCGTTGCCGTCGCTCGCCGTGTGCTCGCCGCCGTCGCCGCTCGAGCTCCGTAGCACCCACACGTCGCCAGCCTCGCTCGGCGTAGCTCCGTCCAATCCGACGCTAGCATCGAGTTCCCGAAACCGCGTAGATGCTCTCACCGCCGGGAATCGGTCCCTCGTGACCTCGTCGGCGTTTCCCTCTTCCCTCCCCGCCGGTTGTCGCCGCCGCGATTCGCCGCCGTTGAACTCCCTCTGGCGAATCCGAGCCGTTGGCTCGTCTCCCCTCATCACGAACAACCGCCCGGTGTGCTAGCTTTTGCCCGTATCGCCGTGGTTCGCTCCGCCGCTCGCCGCCGCCCGCCCGCCGTCCATTCGCGGCCGGGTCGTCGTCTACCTCCCGCCGGCCCGCGTGGCAGCCACGTAGGCGCCACGTCGGCGCCAGCTCAGCCTAGACCGGGTCGAGCCGACCCCGGTCAGTCCCTCCCCGTGCGCGCGTTCCACCGCGAGCCGTGAGGCTGCGCGTGGGCCCGCTGCATCCGCGTCCACCGCGAACCGCGCGCGTGCACCGCGTCCCTCCCCCGCCCGCGCGCATGAGCCACGTACTCCCTCCGCACGGTGAGCCGAGCCGCTGACAAGCGGGTCCCACCCGGGACCGCGCATGGTGAGCCCGGTCCACCGGCTCTCTCTCTCCTCCCTCCCGCGTGCGCGCGTCTTGGGCCGCTCTGGGCCACCTTCTTGGGCCGGCCGGCCCGTTAAGCTCGGCCGAGCCGCCCTTTCTCTCGGGCCGCGCCCTAGCCGCCCGAGGGAAGTCTATATTCCCTCCCTCTCCCCTTTTCTTTTCTTTTCTTTTCCAAAAAAAAGGATTTAATTAAATCCTTTTCCTTTAGACCAAAAATCCAATAATCTTAGAAATTCAATATCTTTCCAACCGTAAATCCGTTTGACTCCGTTCAAATTCCAAAATTTCTCAAATCTCGAGATCTATCTAATGGCACGCTTAGAGGTCATTAATAGGGCTTTATTTTCGCCGTTTGTTGAGTTGTCCCGTTTTGCGTGTAGTTTCGGAGCCCGAAGACCCGCAGTGCGAGGATTTCGAGGATCAAGCTCCAGATCTCGAGCAAGGCAAGCCACCTTTGAACATTTTGAGCCTATATTTGAAATCTAATTATATTGCTTGCAAAATATTATGCATTGATAGGATTGCACTTAATCTGTTGTTCCGTCTGCAAGGCAGATTGGCAGACCTACCTAACTTGTTGCATTTGATCCTTCCATTGTTAATTGCTATACCATGTCCCCTTGTAACCATCCAGCTACGCCTCGATATTCGTGCACCCTGTGCCAGTATCGACGGTCGCCTTCAAACTTAAAATCTGAGTAACAACTTGGGTAAAACTGGAGTTTTACAAAAGACTTGGAAAACCCGACACCTGGGTCGGTGCTTGCAAACTAAATGAATTTCCAAAACCGCGGACCGGGGAACGTACCGGGTGTACGGTTTCCCGCTCTCGCACTTAAGGACCAATTCCTTGGAATTTCATCCAAACATAAGACAAGTACGACCACATGGGTCGAATGGGACACCCCTGGCTGAGTAACTAGCTTATCAGGGGAGCCTTGATGCCGAGAGACATGTGGATTCGCCGGGGTGGTGTCGGGGAGGACCCCTGGGCTTCCTGGCACAGTATGGTCTGGGACCTAACCTGTTGTTGGTCTGGGACCCCTCTCGTCGGCATATGGTAAACCTGTGTCGGCTTTGGAAATGCCTTGTCATGAAAGCTTGGAGGTCTCCCGACGTGGCTGATCCCCACGGGCTGGGTGATCCGGGTTAGTAATGTCGTGTGGGTAAAGTGTACCCCCTCTGCAGAGGTTAACAAACTGTTCGAACAGCCGTGCCCACGGTCATGGACGGATGTGAGGTGATTCCTAGCGTAGTTTGGTTTGACTACTGCTTGTGAAATTGCTGTGTGAAAAGGGGTTCGGTGTTTGAAAAATCTGTAGCTGATGGGATCAGCTAGGCCCGGGTGGCCGTTTGAAAAGTTGTTGGCCCGGGTGGCCGTTTGAAAAGTTGTTGGCCCGGGTGGCCGTTGAAAAAGCTGTTGGCCAGGTGCCAACCTTGTTTAAATTCTAAAGACTGATACATTGCACATACTCCGACCGGACGAGACGCACTGTCTCATCCGTGTCGTTTGAGAAGCACTCACTTAGTTGTTTCAGAAAAGAGTTCAAATAAAATTAATTGCAAAAACACCAGCCTTTCCTTGAAGCCTGCATTAAACACTTACTTCCCATGGCTTGCTGAGTACTCCCGTACTCACCCTTGCTCTATATAAATAATCCCCCCCAGTTGCTGAAGAAGATGAAGCGGATCCTGCTGATGAGGAGTTCTTCCAGGAGCATGCCGGCTACGATGAGTTTTAGGGTTTCAGCCTAGTTCCCAAGTCGCGCCTGTGTTGATTGGTCCAAGTCCTGGCTTCCGCTTTCCTTTTGTAATGCAGTTGTGAGCTCGGGATCTGTCCGCAGCCCAACATGACTGTACATCTACTCTATAATAAAGAGACCTCTGTTGCTGTGATATTCTGTCTCCCTGTGATACCAGCACTGTTTCCTGGGACTGGTATCGATTAACAGGTTAATTTGGAGCGTCACGGGCTAGTTCCGGTCGGGACTAGTTCGGGGCGTGACAGACTACAATGCTAGTATTACCTCACAACAAGCCCAATGATTCCATGGAATCAACCTCGATCAGGCTATATGATGAATAGTCGATGCGAATGTGAGACACAGACTTTCACTTTCTACACACAATGGCTCTGCAACCTCCTCCTCCACCTCCACTTCCACCTCCGGCGGTGGCACTCATCATTGCCGCCGGCGGCATCTACACTCATGCATCTGTCGACTCCAACACCAACCCAAAGGCCAACGGCAGCAAGATGAGTGTGGAATCGCTGTTGTATATGGTGGCGACGATCGCCGTTGCCGCACTGCTCCTCGTCGGCGTCAGAAGCGTAATCCATTGGTGCATCAGCTAACTGAAGAAGAAGAAGCAGAGTGTCAGCAAGCAGCCGACAACGATGGAGACGGCGACGGCCCCGCCGTCTGGGCCCCACTTCACCGGCCCCATATACACCGTCAACGTCTTCAACTACGGCGGCGTCGGCGGCTACAGTGACGTCGGCAGCTACGGCTACGGCGACGGCGACGGCAATGGCGACGGCTACAGCTACAGTGACGGCGACGGCGACGGCGAGTGCCAGGCTCCCCAAGCGGCCTGGAATTACTTTATGAGCTCATAATTGCTGGAAATAAACTCGCCATGGTATGTTCATGGCGTGAGTGAGCCTGTGCGTGTGTGTGTGTGTGTGTCTGTGTTGTGTAGTGTGCGTTGTGTGCGTCTTGTTAGGTCGATCGAGTCATGATCGCGAGTGCAGGGGTGCTGCAGAGCGCTCGGTCGGAGTTTGTTAGAGGAGTGGTGTGCGTGGCGCATGGTTCGGGAAGGAAGCCGCGTCGTCTGGGCGAGCGTGTGGCTCACGGCGACATCAAGCGGGTCCTGTGGAACGTGGCGTAATGGCCGGCATGGAGGCTAGCTCCTGGTGTGTCCCCGGACTATAAGAAGCCTCTATACTCCTTCATTTGTTATTTTGTTTGTGTTCATGAGTGTGAGAGTGTTCCTAGGCTAAGCCAACATTTGGTATCAGAGCCTGGAGATGAAGATCGGAGATGGCTCGACCTCCGATGCCTCCGTGGAGCGCGTCGTGCCCAATTCCAGCGTCATGGAGCTGCTGCTGCTAACCAGGGCCAACTACCATCAGTGGGCCTTGGTTATGCGGGTGAGCTTGGAGGCGCTGGAGTTGTGGGACGCGGTGGAAGCGGTCACCAAGGATAGGCGGGCGTTGGCCACCATCTTGCACGCGGTACCACCGAAGATGAAGGTCGGGCTCGCCGTGAAGACGTCGGCGAAGGAAGCGTGGGACTCGGTGAAGAAGATGCGAGCCGGCGACGACCGCGTGAAGTCAGCGAGTGTGCAACGCTTCATGAAGGAGTTTGAGAACATGATGTTCCGCGACGGGGAGACCGTCGGCGACTTTGCGATGCGCATCAACGGGCCCACCGCGAGCCTGCGTGACCTTGGGGAGGAGATAGAAGACAGCCACGTGGTGAAGAAGGTCCTGCGCGTGGTCCCGAAGAGGTTGAAGCAAGTCACGGTGGCAATTGAGATGCTCGAGGACATGGATGATATGTCCGTTGAGGAGCTCGTCGGGCGGCTGCAAGTGGCGGTGGACGCCGACGTTGAAGATCAAACGGAGGTCCATGGCGGGCAGCTACTTCTCGCTGAGGAGCAGTGGGAGGCTAGCAGGCGTCAACGCGGCAGCAAGCAGCACACAGGCAGTGGGGTGCGCCATGACAATGGCAAGAAAGGCGACGACCATGGTGGAGACTGCGAGGATGACGATGACGACGGCAGCAGCACGAGCTCAGGGCTGGATCGACAGGATCCCGTCGAATGTGCTCCACTTGATAGGATCCCGTCGAATGCGCTCCATTCGATTGCCTGGCTTGTCAAACTAAGCTAGTTCAACAGGTCCCTATTTTTGCAAATAAATCCGGATACCAACTTTTGTTTTTGTGACTTTTTATTAAAATAATAATATTTCTAAGAAAATGCCAGCGCACACCACGAGTGTGTTTGGGTCTACATGCATGTAGTAGAGTACGCGGACATCTGATGTTTGATAAAAGATGTCCCTCCTTTTTGTGGCTTTCTCTGTTTTTTTCACTGGAACAAATAAGATGTCCCTCCTTTTTTTAATCACTTTCAACTACGTGGTACGACACATTGAAGGTCCAGTGTAGTGCCTCTTTAAAACCCACCTATCAGGCCTCTTGAAGCCTATCAGCCCCCTTGAAGTATAGATGGCCAAATGGGCCACCTGGTCCAGCCATGACCGGGCCTAGCCACGGCCCGACCAATACATCGGGCCAGGCCATGCCTACCCACAGGTTGCACCCTCAGCCCAATAAGACTCGGGCCGTGCTAGGCGGGCCCGAAGGCATGATAGCCCATCGTGCTTCTCTATTAAATAAGTATATTTTTTCTCACTTATCTCTTTGGGCTATCTTATATGGCTAGAATAAGTCTATTTGTCCTCCCTCTTCTCTTTTGGGTTGTATCTTATATGGCTGGAATAAGTCTATTTTGTATACCTCTTGTCTTTGGGTTGTACCTCAAATGGCTAAATTAAGTCTACGATGGATCCCTCAACTATTTTTCTTTGGTCGTGCTGGCCCACCGTGCCGAGGAAGCAGCCTAGGCACGGCCTTGCTGTCAGGTCGGGCCGGCACGAGCACATCCCAGTTGGGCCGTGTTGTGCTTGGGCAGGCCAAATTGTTGTGCCTTGGGCTAGGTCGTTGGGCCTCGGGCCATATGACCATCTATACCTTGAAGCGTGAGTCGCCTTCCATATTTCATTCAAAATGATTTCCATATTTCCCATATTTTTCTTCCAAAAGAACACATTCCATATGTATCAAACACGGCAACCTATATATTATTACATAAGCCACGCGGCGACCTATTGCATTTGCTACATATCGCTACAAATCCTATTGCTAACTATTGAGATCGACGAGATGGCGACAATCCCCGGCCTCCTTCTGATCTGCTTGCTGATGATTCTTCCTGTGCTTTCGACGAACCGATCGGTAAGCAATACATTGCTGGTGCATCGTCATTGCGTAGTGGATTTAGGTGTATGCTATAGCCATGAGCGCATTCTGATGCAAATTCGTTCGAAAAAAAGGATTATTTTTCAACATACGTTTTTTGTTTCGTTTTCGAAACAAGTCATGTAACCTTGGGATTAATGGTTCATCAGGAGAGGGGTGGTGCAGAGCTTGTTCACAGATCAAACTGGGTGCAGCCATTGAACCGTGCTGCTGTTGACAGCGAGGCTGTTCACGTGAGTTTTCTTTTCAAAGCTTACTACTGTTGAATTTTCCACGGAGCAAGACCAAAGTTTATTTAGAAACAGTTTTTTTTTGACGTGATATTTAGAAACAGTTTTGCATTTGGTATATAACTCTTGTTTCTTATTTGTAAGTACGTTATTTCTGTAAGTACGTACTCCCTCCGTCTGACCGTCTGACTCAGAAGTTGGTTTTTTATGAGACGGAGGAAGTAGTATATAATTTCTTATACACTTAGTTTATATTGATCATTAATACTTTCTCCGTTTCACAATGTAATTCATTTTAGCATTTCCTACATTTATATTGATGTTAATGAATCTAGATAGATATATGAGCAATTTTACGGTCCTTGAGGAGATATCATAAGGTACCACTTTTTCTATTATAAATTTAGTACTTACCTAAGTACTATGAGGTACCCTCCTCAAAGACCGTAAAATTGCTCTAGATATATATGTCTAGATTCATTAACATCAATATGAATGTGGAAAATACTAGAATGGCTTACATTATAAAATGGAGGGAGTATATGCCAATATAATCCCAATACCACAATAAACATAGTGCTTTCCTTTTTTTCTTATTCTATTAGTATGGTAATTTCTTATACTCACCGTAAAGTGGTTTATTTACGAATCAATCATTTTTCACCTACTATAAATTTATGAAATACTTATTTATCTATCTGCCCCATGTTTTTTTTTCAGATGGTAGGGTATATAACACAACCAAAAGAAGATGGCTACTATGGATTTATAGTAACGATGGATGTTTATGGCTTCAATTTAAGCCCCGGCCAATTGAACAGTTATGCCGGAGTTTGGGTAAAAACTGATAATAATAATGATGATGGCAAAGAGCGTTGGAATTAATAGATGGGCTAAGGCCCATTCGAAGATTAATTCTTTAGAAAATCATAAAAGCCCACCTCATGGGATGGCATGCATATGGAGTTTAGTACCACATTGTTTATTCTAGGAGAGGGGGACCTCCTTAAAAGGGAGGAGGCTCTTCTAGCCACTTGAAGCATGTGTGGTGGAGAGAAGAGGGGGAACACTCGCTCGCCTGGCCTGGCAGGCGGCGTGCGTGCACGACGTACGTGTTGAATGGTCCGTAAAATTGGCTCCTCACCCTTACACAGATGCAGCCTCATTTTGCAGTTTTGTTTTGCTGCAGGAAAATTCGGATTTGTTTTGTTTTGGAAACATTCCGAAAAATCGTCCGGGTAAATTACGGGCGACTTATCCGGTTCGGTTACGCGGAGTGGAGATCGTGCGGGCGCCCTGATCAAGCGACCTATCTCTATATAAACCGAGCCGCCACCTTCACGCAAAATACACGAAATCAATCTAGGGTTTGCCTCCTCCTCTGTGTTGCGCCGTCGCTCGTGGACTACTCCATCCCACTCGCTAGCGTGCACCGGTGATCGGGAGAGCAGGTCTCCGGAACCTCTGCCTTCGACGTCCTGCACAGGGAGAAGGCGGCAATAAGGTTTTTGGGAAGCGCTTCGCGCGACTGCTCCCTGTTCGTCCGCGACGGCTCGCCTTCCTCTCCGCTCGCGTGCTGCGCGCCTTCGTCGATGCTCACAACCGCGAGTAGTTCCTGCCGAGCAACCGGTCTTTCCGCCACCTCGATACGTGTTCGACATGTTGCGCATATTTGATCTGTTCATATTTTACTGCTTAGTTTACATGTCTAATAATGCGTTAATACTAGTATATATATATATATGTAATATCATAATTTATTTATGGAATATATTAAATTATTATATGCCTATATTCTCAACAAAGAGTCCAGTTTCGACGGCATTCAGATTGGTTGGCGTGTAGGTCACTTGTTTAATTCATCCCTGCAGTTTTTTTCTCTTAACGACCATGCCATGATGTGAATTAATCCCCAGTTGATCGTCTTAATATCGTGTAGGTTCTACCAGGCGATGAACGCCCTGTGTTTTACCTCGCTCGTACGGTGGGTGAATCCCTTACACTTCAACTATACAAAGTTTTTTACTCAAAAAACTTACGATAGTATTTTAGCTACTTCCATTTCTTATCCTTTTTGTTAATTCCTTATATATATATATATATATATATATATATATATATATGTGTCGTTTGTATATATACTGATAAATACTGATAAGTTATCTCGAAAAACAGATGTCCGCTGCTGGTGCACCAACAACAGGTGTAGACGTATACTGCCCTGGCTTTCAACCTAAGAAGGACGCATCCACACGACCCGGCGACGTTATCCCTAGCATCTCCGAGCTAAACGGAACAAGGCAATACATCGCACTCAATGTATTCAAGGTTAGCTAATTAACTTGCATAATTGTTACTCCCTCTATTTTATATTGTAAGAATTTCTATCATTACTTATATTTTTATCTATTATAAAAGTTTAAGATATTTTTACCCATGATTTTCGTACGTCGTCTGATTCATCCACCTAACCGTATTTTTTTGTTCGATTTCTTTTTCACCGCGCATGTATGTCGTGCCGTATTTTTTTTCTTCATCCGATTCTCTTCCCACGCGTTCCAAATCATGTGGCGTCTAGGCCCATGTAAAAAATCGCGTAGTCTCTCTGGCATTCTTTACCTTCCGATTTTTAGCCAGAGGTTACCGTCGTCTGTGATTTTGACGAAAAAAATCACGCGAAAAAAAACCGCCCCGTAAAGAAAGCCAAAGATAAACAGCAAAAAGGTGTTAAAAAAACAGCGAAAAAAAAAGTCCGATTCATACTTGGAAAAAGAAGTGGCTAGAAAAAAAGGAGGTAAATAAAATGCGGGCCAAGAGTACGCGGACTGTGGTAGCCGGTAGGAGGTGCTGATCGTGCACGCACACATAACAGTACGTACATACTTGGAGATCAGGTGGGATTAGATCTTTTTAATCTAATTCAGTGAGAGGGGATTTGCCGGTCATACGTTTTTTTACATGTAACACCTACATACGAACCGTACTTACGCATTAGAGATAGGAAGATTGATTAGCCGGAATGATTAGGATTTAGAAAGAGTGATTAACAGGATTTTTCAAGTCTAATCCAATGGTCATCTATCGATTTAATTGAAAAATCAAGGGATATGTGTTTTTTCTCAAATTTTCTAGCATTTCAAGGCTTTGTTTATTTTTTTGAAAAGATAGATATGATGGTCCAATACCGATTTAAGTGAATATATATATATAAATATTTTTTATTAAATTTAGTCTATAATAATGGGTACACAATATAATATAGTGGGTGTAAAATTTATTTTTAAAAATTGTAGAGCTAATGTTCGTAAAGAGTGATATGATAATATATTCAATGTTTAAAGTAACTATTACTTAAAAATTATTATAACTAATAATAATTATTATTATCTCTACTATTATAAAAATTGAAAATGTTTCCGCCAGAATTTTAGTGCGTCGTCCGTATTTGAATCGGTTTTAATTTTATATTTTTGTCAAATCATTTTCTTTTTTCTTACGATGTAGTGTCCCTCTGAGTCCGTTTTCCACGCGCGCCTTTGCGTGTCGCCGTGATTATTTTACTTTTGAAAAGAACATGCCAATTAAAATAAAGGATAATCGAAATTGCTCGGATCCATCAATTGGCTTATGATGTTGCTTTTCATCATAAGCAGTCTGATGCTTATCGGCATAATCATTTCCATCAGCCGTAGAAAAAGAGTCGGGAATGATTGTATCCACTACCAATGGCTGATGCTTATTTAGCCCAATAAATGAACTGATGGGCTTTTGTTGAGAATCAGCCTCAGCAACAATGAACCAATGAGGCCAGCTGATTCTGTCCGTCATCAATTTCTATCCGACTTGAGATCAA